AGGGATATTATAAAGGGAGGTCAGGTACTCTTTAAAACAGCTGCTAGTTATGGGTACTTTTTACTGAAGTACATTTCAAAGCCTCTTTACTTTGACTTGAGTAAAGAAGTTTAGTCAGTACTTCTACCAGAGTGTTTTTAAACACGAGTATCTGTACTTCTACTTGAGTAAAGGATGTGTGTACTTTTACCCTCTCTGCCCCCAACTCACTCCTATCAGAACAGCGACTCAAACCCTTATTCCTGTCTGACAGACCATATCCAGAATAAAGTGGATCCATGTTCCTCCGGCATCTCGATGGGAAGTCTCTGACATCTGCAGCCACCTCTCTGCGGGGGAAACCTCCACCATCATGTTTACCCACTGGAAGCTGGCCTCTAATTGAAAAGAGTTGGAATGGAGACTTTCACTTTGACGCCCTCTTCATGGATAAATCATCAATAGCTCCATGGATAACTAATCAATGAGTCCGAGTTAAAGAACTTAGCTGGAAGGAAAACAGTCCAGACTTCGCCTCATTACAGAAGAAATGGTAAATATCACCTGTCCACACGACAGCAGGGAACACGTATCGCACTTATTGGCAGCACTTTCTTAAAAATACAACCGTTCACCTGCATTAATGAGGAAATCCCCAACAACAGTCAGGCTTTTGGACATCAGCCATGGATAGATTTGTTCTTTCAATTCACTTTTATAATCAGATACATCCAATTGGGATGCCTAATCTTTATCTTGTCTAAACTTGACACTCAACAGGTTTTTGGCGGTCCTGAATGTCGTTTTAAAAGCTTTATTTTACTTAAGCATTGCTTAGCTCAGTTCTTACACATGCCTCCTTTCTGGTGTGTTCAGTGATAACTTCAAATATTGCTTTATAATATGCAGCTTTATAACAGGAGGTCAGATAAGTAGCTTAGCGAGGCCTCTTAGGACTTTGCACCCAATCAGTACAATCTTAAAAAAGCAACAGGTATGAAGTTTAAGGAAGCCAGGATCCGTGTGGTGTGGTCATAATTCCAAAAGAGGATATAATGGGCTTATTTGCAGGTTCATATTTGTATTTTGTGCCTTGATTTTAGCCTTTACAGACCATTTACATGCACCAAAACCTACATAGCACACTAGAGGAAAGGGAAAACCCAATATAGAAGAGTATGACCTCGCCTATATTTATCATCTACGTAAATCTGTTGTTTTTATAATAGGAGGTCAGATAAGTAGCTTAGCGAGGCCTCTTAGGACTTTGTACGTAATCAGTAAAATCTTATAAAATGCAACAGGTTTTAAGGAGGATCCGTGTGGTGTGGTCATATTTCCAAAAGAGGATATAATGGGCTTATTTCAGGTTCATATTTTTATTTTTTTGCACCTTGATTTTAGCCTCTTCAGACCATTTATAACACACTAGAGACCCCAACATAGAAGAGTATGGCCCCTTTAACACGCCTATATTTATCATCTAGGTCTGTTGTTTACTGTGGCGTGCTAACATTTGCTAATTAACAAGGTATTTGGATAAAAGCCTAATTGAAATGTTGACCTAGTGGTGTCACTTGATGAAAAGTCACTGCATCACTTAAGTTATTGGAGCTTCCCTGCAGGGCTTTGAGTCTCAGCAGCAGAGGCCAACAGAGGCTTAACCACAGGGTGAGATATTATCAATATTACACTGCTGCCGTCATACGAAGGTCCAATCCTGGGAGATTTTCTAACAATAATTTGATTTGACTTGGGCTAGCATTGATTAAAAACTCAGACAGTCATTTAAACATGATTTGGCTGTCAGCAGGTCCAGAAAGAAGTGACGTCTTTAGAGACGCAAGGCTTTTGTTCTAGGCACTAAACGTAGAACTGGAGCAAAACACTACAAAGTCAAAAGGGACGGCAGCAGTATGACATTACATTGCATTTAGCTGACGCTTTTATCCAAAGCGACTTACAATAAGTACATTCGACCAGGAAGACACAACCTTGAAGAAAACAGAATCATATAAGTACATCAGGTTTCATAGAGCCAAACATTTCAAGTGCTACTCAACTAGCTTTAGATAAGCCAGTCCTTTATTAGTATAAAAGTGCTTTGTTAATAGTTCTATCGCTCGAAGTGGAGTCGAAAGAGATGAGTTTTCAGTTTGCGCCGGAAGATGTGCAAACTATCTGCTGTCCTGATGTCAATGGGGAGCTCATTCCACCATCTTGGAGCCAGGACAGCAAACCCACCTGTTTTTGCTGATGGGAACTTGGGTCCCCCTCGCAGCGAGGGTGCAGCGAGTCGTTTGGCTGATGCAGAGCGTAGTGCACGCGCTGGGGTGTACGGTTTAACCATGTCCTGGATGTACGAATGAGAACAACAAAGAGCATTTTGAACATTGTAGCATAGAGACACTACATACTGATATACACCTGAACATCAGCAGGAGAGGACTCTTTAAAGTAGAGACACTACATACTGATATACACCTGAACATCAGCAGGAGAGGACTCTTTAAAGTAGAGACACTACATGCTGATATACACCTGAACATCAGCAGGAGAGAGGACTCTTTAAAGTAGAGACACTACATACTGATATACACCTGAACATCAGCAGGAGAGGACTCTTTAAAGTAGAGACACTACATACTGATATACACCTGAACCTCAGCAGGAGAGGACTCTTTAAAGTAGAGACACTACATGCTGATATACACCTGAACAATCAGCAGGAGAGGACTCTTGAAAAGTAAGACACTACATACTGATATACACCTGAACATCAGCAGGAGAGGACTCTTTAAAGTATAGACACTACATACTGATATACACCTGAACATCAGCAGGAGAGGACTCTTTAAATAGAGACACTACATTCTGATATACACCTGAACATCAGCAGGAGAGGACTCTTTAAAGTAGAGGACACTACATGACTGAATTACACCTGAACATCAGCAGGAGAGGACTCTTTAAAGTAGAGACACTACATACGAACATCAGCAGGAGAGGACTCTTTAAAGTAGAGACACTACATACTGATATACACCTGAACATCAGCAGGAGAGGACTCTTTAAAGTAGAGACACTACATACTGATATACACCTGAACATCAGCAGGAGAGGACTCTTTAAAGTAGAGACACTACATACTGATATACACTGAACATCAGCAGGAGAGGACTCTTTAAAGTAGAGACACTACATACTGATATACACCTGAACATCAGCAGGAGAGGACTCTTTAAAGTAGAGACACTACATACTGATATACACCTGAACATCAGCAGGAGAGGACTCTTTAAAGTAGAGACACTACATACTGATATACACCTGAACATCAGCAGGAGAGTACTCTTAAGTAGAGACACTACATACTGATATACACCTGAACTCAGCAGGAGAGGACTCTTTAAAGTAGAGACACTACATACTGATATACACCTGAACATCAGCAGGAGAGGACTCTTTAAAGTAGAGACACTACATACTGATATACACCTGAACATCAGCAGGAGAGGACTCTTTAAAGTAGAGACACTACATACTAATATGAACCAGATATTTGTACAGTTATATATATATATGATTTGTTATGAGTTATTACTAAAGTTATCATGTACACTTAACTAATTTGAGAAATGAGTAGGATTGGATATAATAAACATACTTAAACAAGGACAAAGACAAAGTTGAAACTAAGGTAACGTTTTGCTGGTGAAAATAAGAGTAAATACTTTCTTCAGTGTAATTTAATAAATACGCTTCACAGTACATGGTTTACATTCAACAACACACACAGATTTTGGACAGTGACATTTCAATATGGACAATTGCATTAATGAACGACCTGATATTGCATTGAGACTCCTTCCTTCTCTGAGATGTGTAATCTGCAGAAACACATCGTTGGTCTCCAGGGGAACATGTTGACCTTTGAGGAACTGTGATGAAGAGCAACAGATGTGAAAATACCACTGAATGAACAACAAACACAGTTTTGATTTCATTATGTCCCCCTAACGCTATGAAACTTCGTGTGAGCGTTCCATTTCTCCGGCTGTTATCCATCCAAAATATTTTTTATAATCGATTTGAAAGAATCTCCACTGATATATACAGAGCTCTTAATGGTGGCCTCTTATCACCTCTGACTTTCTATCTTTTGATGTGTCTGTCTAATATTTCAAAAGTAAATAATATTGTTATCTAATAATTATTACATATTCAAACGACAGCTGGAGAGACAATATCCCCCTTTAGTTGGTCTATTGTTTTTTTTAAATGTATTTATTCTTTTGGTCTTTCTTACGTTTACTGAGTGGGATCATTTTTTATATATTTTTGTATTTATTACCTTACCTATTCTACATTGTTGTATTCTATGTACTCATATGTCTGATGTACAAATGCTGCATGAGTGCTAACGCTGTGACCTGAATTGAATGTCTTATCGTCTGTAAGTGTTGTCTTGTTGTCATATTGTCGAAGCACTTTGAGCTGCTTTCTGTGTATGAAAAGTGCTCCACAGATAAAGCTTTAACATCATAATAAACAATGTCATTGGGATAATAAATGTGGATTCTGTGAGGGAGATATCGAGACTCTGTAGGGCCTATTTTCTTCCAGCTACACCCTCTGAATGAGATTAGATTAAAGCTGGAGTTCTTCTGAAGGACAACTTTTTTTTTACATAGAATTTGATATTGTTGAGTCAATACTGTATTTACAAATAACAACAAATAGAAGCATGGACTCTAACTATTTGCAACACTACATTATGGAGGAACACACACACACACACACACACACACACACACACACACACCACACACACACACACACACACACACACACATCTTCAGGGGACATTACATTGACTTACATGCATTTCCTGGAGACTTATCCTAACCATAACCAACACATGCCTAACCCTAAACCTAACCAAGTCTTCACCCTAAAATGAATGATTCCCCTCATAGGGACCGCCATTATGTCCCCATAAGGGAGGCGAGTCCCCACACGTGACTATGTAAAAAGATTTAGGTCCCCACAAGTATAGTAATAATAGGACACAACACACACACACACACACACACACACACACACACACACACACACACACACCTTCTGAAGGAGAACTTTTGTTTACATATCATTTGATATTGTTGAGTCAATACTGTATTTACAAATGACAGCAAGTGGAAGCATGGACTCAAACTAGTTGCAACATTACGGAGGAAAACTCCCTTATTTTACTCGTCATTCTTGTCTATGTGTTGCTCAAATAGACTCTTACTCTTTGTTAAAGCATCATTTCGTGTTTCAAGTGTTATTTGATTGATGTAAGCTTTTATTTGAATGTTAATGTACATCACACAACACCATGGATTGAGCCTTAAAGGTTTGTAATTAAATCTTGTACAATACAGTTCCAAATGAAGTGTTTCAGGCTGTTACTCCTGGCAGTGAAGCTGCAGCGCCACCTGGTGGTCGTGCATGGATGATCTTTACAGGATGAGTGAGAGAAAGGTCTGTAAGAGACTCACACACAGATCTAAGAACACATGCTGTGACCATGTGGAGAACAATGAGGCTTTCTATACAGAGAGGAGTGAGAGAAGCATGTCACAACATCGTGGACATGATTGAACGCTTTTCAATTTTAAAGCCACTTCCTTTCAAGCGAGACTCAAAGAAACTGACGGATTAAAACGACTGTGCGTTGCAGTGATGATTGACAGGAAGTCCATTATTAAAAACATTCAAAGTGACAATAAATATGACACTTGAAAAACACTCTTTGTGCCCCAGCACAGATTGAACATTAAGAGGTAACAGCTGTTGTCCTTTTGGGTGGAAAACAATAAGTGCAGACTATTTTCTGTTACAAATCAGCACTGTAAGAGCGTATGACCTTGACATTGGTTAACTTTAGTAGCATTTAAAGTATCCTTAACTCTTTCACATTCACAGCACAATTCCTATAACTCATCTTCTAACAGCTGTAATAATCAGGTTTGTATCATAGTATAGCCATTGATAGCAGAGTAACGATTTATATTGCTGTAACAGCTTATATCCGTGTCTTTATTGTAGCTCGGTTTAGAAGTTCTTCCAACTACAGATTGAAGTTTAAACTCTATTTGACACTAATTGAATGTTTGTTTAGTTATTTGCTTTTGTCTACAGTACCTTTCAGACCTGACTCAAGCTTATATTGTGACTAGGTGGCACACAGATTTTGTATGTCACCTGTAGCCGACTTTGTTCCCTTTTTCTATTGAAACATACGGTGATTTGAAAGCATGACAACATACATGTAACCGTTGTATGTTATAAGACCTGCAAAGAATTGCATTGCTACTGCTTTCTGTTAAATCCTCACACCGGCTAAGTGCATCCTCCATTACATCTAACAAGTCAAGAAGCCATCAAACAAACAATAACACAATGGAAATGATCACGGAGAGCAAAGACTGAAGAATTACAGAGTTCCTGTCAGCTTTCAAAAAACAAAACAGAATCAGTTCAACCAGCAGGAGAGAGCTATCGGAGCCAGTTCAGAAAACAACAGGAAAGTTATTAAAGTTAGATTGGAGTTTCCTGAAAATGAAAAAGCTATTTGTTATTTGGGACGTCATGTGGCTGAGATGCATTACGGACTAATGTCCTACCACACAACAACCTCTGTAGAGAATATAGTGTAATGAGACCCGGGCCAAATACATGATATCTTCCAAAGGACTCCGATTCAAAAGGGATTCAATGCTTTGTTATCAAACACCCACAACATAAGTTGGTAGACAATTGATTTAGAAATCAAACGGTCCAGAGTCACTTAATCCCTTCTGCTAATGATCGGGTGAAATGCATTTTTAAGGACAGCATCTGAAGCCTTATAGTGGTGCAGGAGAGGAGTGAGTAACAGCAGTAACACATGATCACTCCCTCCTACTGTATATCGCAATTTGAGACTAAATTACGTGTTTTTCCGAAGGTAGCAGGGTTGTGCTGAAAGTGAGCGCCTCTGATATTCTGCAGATAAAAGAGGGGCAAGTGTTCCCTGTGTTTCAGAGTTCAGTCCAGCGGTACCTCCAGAGGCAACATGGCTGCCGTGGCCTGCTTGGACTCCTTCATCTTGTCCAGACCGAAGAGGAGGTCCAGCTGGGTGACGGGGCGCAGACGCTCCTCATCCACCGGCCTGAAGAGGACACGGACACACACACACGGACACACAGACATACACACACACACACACGGACACACAGACACACAATTAATTTAGGACACACTAGATGGACACGGTGTCTTTGACATCAAGTAGATTCTGTTTTCTCGGGAAGGTGAGAGCTTCAAGTTTTCAGTTTAGACAATGAACTTTCTGTTTCATATTAACATGCTGCACACACTATGTATACAAACATCATAGGAGAGGACTCTTTAAAGTAGAGACACTACATACTGATATACACCTGAACATCAGCAGGAGAGGACTCTTTAAAGTAGAGACACTACATACTGATATACACCTGAACATCAGCAGGAGAGGACTCTTTAAAGTAGAGACACTACATACTGATATACACCTGAACATCAGCAGGAGAGGACTCTTTAAAGTAGAGACCCTACATACTGATATACACCTGAACATCAGCAGGAGAGGACTCTTTAAAGTAGAGACACTAAATACTGATATACACCTGAACATCAGCAGGAGAGGACTCTTTAAAGTAGAGACACTACATACTGATACACCACCTGAACATCAGCAGGAGAGGACTCTTTAAAGTAGAGACACTACATACTGATATACACCTGAACATCAGCAGGAGAGGACTCTTTAAAGTAGAGACACTAAATACTGATATACACCTGAACATCAGCAGGAGAGGACTCTTTAAAGTAGAGACACTACATACTGATATACACCTGAACATCAGCAGGAGAGGACTCTTTAAAGTAGAGACCCTACATACTGATATACACCTGAACATCAGCAGGAGAGGACTCTTTAAAGTAGAGACACTAAATACTGATATACACCTGAACATCAGCAGGAGAGGACTCTTAAAAGTAGAGACACTACATACTGATATACACCTGAACATCAGCAGGAGAGGACTCTTTAAAGTAGAGACACTACTGATACCAGTGTTTCCCCTATATACAAAAAGCGGCGGCGCTATTATGCAAAATCCTCTTCTTCATGTCTCTTCTACATCAGCATGTGTCCCCTCTTCTTCATGTCTCTTCTTCATCAACATGTGTCCCCTCTTCTTCATGTCTCTTCTACATCAACATGTGTCCCCTCTTCTTCATGTCTCTTCTACATCAACATGTGTCCCCTCTTCTTCATGTCTCTTCTACATCAACATGTGTCCCCTCTTCTTCATGTCTCTTCTACATCAACATGTGTCCCCTCTTCTCCATGTCTCTTCTACATCACATGTGTCCCCTCTTCTTCATGTCTCTTCTACATCAACATGTGTCCCCTCTTCTTCATGTCTCTTCTACATCAACATGTGTCCCCTCTTCTTCATGTCTCTTCTACATCAACATGTGTCCCCTCTTCTTCATGTCTCTTCTACATCAACATGTGTCCCCTCTTCTTCATGTCTCTTCTACATCAACATGTGTCCCCTCTTCTTCATGTCGTCTTCTACATCAACATGTGTCCCCTCTTCTTCATGTCTCTTCTACATCAACATGTGTCCCCTCTTCTTCATGTCTCTTCTACATCAACATGTGTCCCCTCTTCTTCATGTCTCTTCTACATCAACATGTGTCCCCTCTTCTTCATGTCTCTTCTACATCAACATGTGTCCCCCTCTTCTTCATGTCTCTTCTACATCAACATGTGTCCCCTCTTCTTCATGTCTCTTCTACATCAACATGTGTCCCCCTCTTCTTCATGTCTCTTCTACATCAACATGTGTCCCCTCTTCTTCATGTCTCTTCTACATCAACATGTGTCCCCTCTTCTTCATGTCTCTTCTACATCAACATGTGTCCCCTCTTCTTCATGTCTCTTCTACATCAACATGTGTCCCCTCTTCTTCATGTGTCTTCTACATCAACATGTGTCCCCTCTTCTTCATGTCTCTTCTACATCAACATGTGTCCCCCTCTTCTTCATGTCTCTTCTACATCAACATGTGTCCCCTCTTCTTCATGTCTCTTCTACATCAACATGGGTCCCCTCTTCTTCATGTCTCTTCTTCATCAACATGTGTCCCCTCTTCTTCATGTCTCTTCTACATCAACATGTGTCCCCTCTTCTTCATGTCTCTTCTACATCAAACATGTGTCCCCTCTTCTTCATGTCTCTTCTACATCAACATGTGTCCCCTCTTCTTCATGTCTCTTCTACATCAACATGTGTCCCCCTCTTCTTCATGTCTCTTCTACATCAACATGTGTCCCCTCTTCTTCATGTCTCTTCTACATCAACATGTGTCCCCTCTTCTTCATGTCTCTTCTACATCAACATGTGTCCCCCTCTTCTTCATGGTCTCTTCTACATCAACATGTGTCCCCTCTTCTCCTGTCTCTTCTACATCAACATGTGTCCCCTCTTCTTCATGTCTGTTCTATAACATGTCTTCTACATCAACATGTGTCCCCTCTTCTTCATGTCTCTTCTACGATCTTCGATGTTTTGTCTTGTGTAACCATTAGCCAATCACCAACCAAGGTAACCCCCCCCCCCTTATCACCTGAATCTCCTAGAGCACCATTGAGTTCTTTGTAACCAAATCTATATATATAAAATCTGTATACACTTTGCTTTCTGCCCTCCGACTTCCACTCATTTGGTTTGTTTTTCCTGATGTAGAAACCGTCTAATTGTTGAAATAGTAGAATAAATAACAAAATAAAATGTATATGTATGATATAGATATATAAATATGACAGGTATGAATATTTATAGCTATTTATTCTATGAACCCGTTTTCTGGACCTGTTTCACGTCAATCTAAATAAGTATTTCAGCAAACTATTTGATACTCATTTCTTTTGTTGAACACATGGTCTTCTATTTCAATATTTCTATTTCAAGACTTCATGTACTTCGTAGTATTCCAAAAACGACATTTAGCCCACATGTTTGAGCCTCCAGCTGTTTCCTGATGTCCCTTTGAAGCAACGTGCTGACAACTAAAGGTTACACTATGTTCTGCTCCAACAGGGCTTCTATGGTCGCTTAGCAACAACCGAAGCATGGGTTACTCAGATCAGATATTTAGCCTTTTATAAAATATAAGATGATTTTAAAATAAACCAGCCTCTGATGAACTTCCAATATCTCACATACAGTGCTGGAGGACATCTGACTAACTCCAGTGTTTCTGAATGCGAAGCCTCGAACTCAGACCGTTTCATAATTACAAAGCCATTAGAGATCATTTACATTTTAATCTCAAGTAAGTTGCAGGTTATATTTACAATTTTGCATAATTTTAGAACAATTAAAAATAAACTTTACACACTTGTCTATATAATGTTGCATGATTAGTATAATTGGTCTATTATAATGATTAATTCTGTATTTTTTATATTGTGTATTCTATTAATACACACACACATATTTTACTGGATGTTTTTTGTATGCCCTGCTTGTGTGTTTTTTTTATATACTTTCTTTTAAAAAGGTCCCATGGCCATTTCTACTGATCATGATTCCATCGTTGAGGTCTACTAGAATAGATTTACATTGTTCAATGTTCCAAACTCTCATTGGTTTCTCATACAGCCTCTGTATAGTATGTGTATTCACTCTGTCCTAAACGCCTTGTTGGAGCTCCTGACCCCCCCCCCCCCTATGAGCCCACTGTGCTCTGATTGGTCAACCACCGTTACAGCTGAACATCAGTGATTATGTGTTACAATGGTGTTTGTTAGCAACCAGGAAATGACACCAGTAATGACAAACAGATGAGAATGCTGCGTGGGGTCTGGGTGTCGTGTTGGCGGGACGTTGCGGGGCTCGCTGCTGTGAGGAGCGGACAGTGTGAGGATTACCGGTGTAGTTTCCTGGTTGCTGCGTGGGGTCTGCGAGACCTGTGAGTGTGTGTGTGTGTGTGCTCAGGCTGAGTTTTGCTGTCTCAGGCTGAGATATCCGCGGAGCTGCGGTTGAGAAAAGACAAGGCTGACAGAGTGTGTGTGAGTGAGGAGCCGTTACGTCACTATGCCCGTTTACGTAACTTTACTCGGGAAGAAAAAAAAAAGTCCAACGAGGCGTTCTGGGGCAGCACAGACAGGTCTTCTCTGTGTTAGAGTTCTACTCGCTACAGGGTGTACTTTGAGGGTTTGTGACTGCAGACCGTTTACATGCAGAAAAACCTTCATAACAACAAGGGGACGGGTGATAACCGGAAAAGCATGACATGGGACCTTTAACCTTTTAGACTATTTTATAATACAAATAAAATAAAATGTATTCGTATTAATTTATACTATTAATAATAAGATATATATTTTTTGTTTTAATTGTGTTTACTGTTTACCTTTTTTAATTAATTAATTTTAAATCTATTGTATTTAATTGTAGTATATTCCTAACTCATGAGTAATGTCTGTTATTGTGCTATTATCTGTTATTATTTTTGTTATATTTATTTTATTATATTATTTTTGTTATATGTATTATCTGTTATTCTTTTTGTTGTCACAGGAGTGACAACAAAAAGAATCCCACACATGTTACACAAGTACATCTAATCTGATCTAAACTAATAACTAATTATAACATCTCACTAAAAAATAAATACAATGCTTCACATAAAGCGACTTTAATTGAAATGTCAGGTTAAGAGAACATCAGTCCATAAGATGCCATCAGTTTTAAAACTAATGAAGCTCAGCGCGAGTTCAACCAGGAAGACCGTCTTTACTCATTCCTTTACTATTTCCATGTTACTCTCTCTCGCCTCTCAATAAGTGATCGGGGGCGTCACTCCCCAGCTTAGCCAATCACTTCGCTCTATTCTCACAAGCCTATCATAGCGCTCCCTCTTCTTCCTGCTCTCAGACACAGCCAGCTCCACTCTGTACTTCCTGGTTCCTCCCCTTCAGATCCACACTGAGGAGGAGGGGAGGAACCAACATGTGGGCAAAGCACAAGAGCTGATAAGCCACATTCACTGCACACACACATGCTGTTCAGATAACCAGTCACACTAGTTTCAGCTCTCAGGAAGTGAAACTCACACACTCGCTGCTACTGAGAGGTGAAATGGCGCAGAAAGGAGTTCAGCTGGACCGGGAAACCTTCTCTTGTTCCATCTGTCTGGATCTACTGAAGGATCCGGTGACTATTCCCTGTGGACACAGCTACTGCATGAAGTGTATTACACAGCACTGGGATGGAGAGCTAATCCACAGCTGCCCTCAGTGCAGGCAGAGCTTCACACCGAGGCCTGTCCTGCTGAAAAGCACCATGTTAGCAGCTTTAGTGGAGGAGCTGAAGAAGACTGGACCTCCAGCTGCTCCTGCTGATCTCTGCTATGCTGGAGCTGGAGATGTGGCCTGTGATGTCTGCACTGGGAGGAAGCTGAGAGCCTGTAAGTCCTGCCTCGTGTGTCTGGCCTCTTACTGTGACCAACACCTCCAGCCTCATTATGAATCACCTGTCTTTAAAAAGCACAAGCTGGTGGAGCCCTCCAAGAAGCTCCAGGAGAACATCTGCTCTCGTCACGACGAGGTGAAGAAGCTGTTCTGCCGCACTGATCAGCAGAGTATCTGTTATCTCTGCTCTGTGGACGAACACAAAGGCCACGACACGGTGTCAGCTGCAGCAGAGAGGACTGAGAGGCAGAGAGAGCTGGAGGGGAGTCGACTAAACATCCAGCAGAGGATCCAGGACGGAGAGAAGGAAGTGAAGCTGCTTCAGCAGGAGGTGGAGGCCGTCAACGGCTCTGCTGATAAAGCAGTGGAGGACAGTGAGAAGACGTTCACTGAGCTGATCCGTCTCATGGAGAAGAGAAGCTCTGATGTGAAGCAGCAGCTCAGATCCCAGCAGAAGAGAGAAGTGAGTCGAGTCAGAGAGCTCCAGGAGAAGCTGGAGCAGGAGATGGCTGAGCTGAAGAGGAGAGACGCTGAGCTGAAGCTGCTGTCTCACACAGAGGATCACAACCAGTTTCTGCTCAGCTACCCCTCACTGCCAGCCCTCAGTGAAGCTACACACTCCTCCAGCATCAACATCCGTCCTCTGAGCTACTTTGAGGACGTGACGGCGGCCCTGTCAGCAGTCAGAGACAAACTACAGGACGTCCTGAGAGAGGAATGGACAAACGTCTCACCGACTGAAGTGGAGGTTTTACTGTCAGCAGCAGAGCCCACCACCAGAGCTGGGTTCTTAACATATTCACAGGAGATCACTCTGGATCCAAACACAGCAGAAACACAGCTGTTATTATGTGAGGGGAGCAGAAAAGCAACATACATGAAACAAAAACAGTCTTATTCTCGTCACCCAGACAGATTCACTTATTGTCCTCAGGTCCTGAGTAGAGAGAGTCTGACAGGACGTTGTTACTGGGAGGTGGAGTGGAGAGGGAGAGGAGTTGATGTAGCAGTCTCATACAAGAATATCAGCAGAGCAGGGGATGAAAGTATATTTGGATTCAATGACAAATCTTGGTCCTTAGAGTGTGACCAAAACAGATATTCATTTGATCACAACAGTATCCGCAATCCCGTCTCAGGTCCTCTGTCCTCCAGAGTAGGAGTGTACCTGGATCACAGAGCAGGTGTTCTGTCCTTCTACAGCGTCTCTGAAACCATGACTCTCCTCCACAGAGTCCAGACCACGTTCACTCAGCCGCTACATGCTGGAGTTTGGCTTTATGATTATGGAGCCACTGCTGAGTTTTGTAAACTCAAATAGCCTGAAGTCCTTGGAGGAACTCTTCTACTTCTTAAACTCACCGTGTCCTTCAGAGCTGATTGTCCATGTCTTCACTGCAGAGATCAGCTGTCAATCAAACATGATGGGCGGGGCTTCAACATCTTCTCACGAGTTGTTCTGTAGATGTTGGACTTTCTTCCGGCTCCTTCCTGTGTCTGCCATGGAGGCTGTCACTGCTCAGGAGGATCCTTGTTCACCTGAACTGATGTGTAAACTTTGCTCTAAATATGTGTTGGATATTTCTTTTGATTCTTGTTGTTGTTTCTCTTGTAGTGCACGAGTCTTCAGAGAGAAAGCAGCACAGCTTCTTTTATTCTCCACATTTTATTCTGGTTCTAAAACAACAGAGACATTTATAATCACATGTATTATTCTGACAGATTAAATGTTATTGTTGCCCAAATTAACAAACACATGAGTTCAGATGGTTATCACACTTATTTCATCATCACATGTTTATTTAAAATGATATTACTTGCTGTCATGATCATAATCAAAAAGTACATCATTTATTATTCTGCTGTAAATAGCTGAGAGTCTTTGCTCGGGAAATACATGGTATAATATTACAGTTATTGTTTTACAGACTAGTTGTTGTTGTTGTTGTTGTTGTTGTTGTTGTTGTTGTTGTCCAAATAGAAAGTGGGTACTCTGATGTTTTTTAGAACATAACTCATCATGATATTAATCAATAAGTAAATCATGTCTGGTTCTGTTTGAAACAGCTGAGATGAAACACATCATGGTGGAGAAAGAGAAACTGATCATGAAATCATTGAACACACTTTACTGATGGGATGTGTGATCAAAGGAAATGTTTGGATCATTAATAAAGGTTTGTCTTTCAAAAACAAAAACAGGATGTTCTTCTTGTGTTATGTCCAAGGTGCTACGAAGCTGATGGAGAACATGTGGAAGTGATCTGAGACTAAATGAAGCTCAGCGCGAGTTCAACCAGGAAGGCCGTCTTTACTCTTCATTCACTATCTCCATGTCTCTCCTCTCTCTAGTCAGGGTTGGGAGGTTACTTTGTAAATGTAATCAGTTACTGAATACATGCTCTGAAAGTCATCAGAATACAGTTACGTGTCTTAAAAAAGTATCAGATTACTTTTGGAATACTTTCTTTTTCCATAACAGATGGGTATGTTTTGGTGAACAGGAGACACGTATGTTACTGTTTTAATGGCTTATCAAGAACTCAAACACGACATCTTGGTGTCATTCTGGACAGCTCTCTCATCTGCACCCCACATCAAACACATCACCCGGACTGCATTCTTTGTACTGTCTTAAAACCTTTCCTTAGAATATGTTATGAATTGTAAGGTGTCCTTGGGTGCTTTGAAAGGCGCCCCTAAATAGAATGAATTATCATTATTATTTATTATTATGATCTGAAACGATGTAATAACTTTTAAAACTGTTTCCAGTCACTTGCCCCATGCATTCAGCAGCAGCAGGCCATTCACTTTGATTCCGTTATAAATGTCATCATTTCGACAATAAAGAAATGCTACATAAACGTTATCTTGCACATTTTATCTAACCATCTCCGTTTCTAACTTTCAATATATTTTAAAAGAGATCTCTCTCTCATCTGCGTGCGGGGGCGGGGCCTCACAGACACGCTGCATCTCTCTCTCGCTCACAGACATGCTGCAGCGCTGTGCAGTGTGCACACAGCTCTGCCGGTAATGAATATTACATTTTGTGAGGAAACTTTTCCACCAATAATTCCAATAAGTATTCCAAAATGTATTGTTAGAAATTAAAATCAATGTTTTGATGGCATAATGTACCTTAAATGTACCTTCAGTTTAAATGCTGTTTTATACTGAAAAACCAGAAAATTATTGTGCACAACCAGATAAGCTTTTATTCTGAAAATCCTTCATCTCCGGTTAGCATGTGGCTAGTTTACCATTTCTTATAAAGGTTAATTTAGTAGCGAAATGACATGGAGTGATGCACACCGAAACCTACTGATTTTAACACTGCAACTATAGAAGTATTATTATTGCTGAATATTGAATAAAGTTATTGTTTACAGACGTGGGTAAGATGTGACAACATCCGGAATGACCAGAAACCAAACCAGCCGTGAAGTATTTTCTGTATTTTTTAGAATATTAACTACAACGTTTAGAATGTGTTAAAGGAAAAGTGATGAAAGACAATATGAGGAGAAGAGTCGTGTTTAAGTATATATTGAATGTACAATGCCTGAATCCTCTGTTTAAACGTAACAACGGACATTAAGATGTGGAGGGCCGGCCCGCAGGGAGGAGCCTACAGAAGCTATATAAGAGCAGCACCTGAGCGGTTCGGCCTCTTTTCTCTGCTAGCGAGGGCCAGAGACAGCTGCTTTTCTGTCGGACAATATCCTGTTTGTGACTGTACCACGCCTTTTTATTAATTAAAGTACCAATTTGAAAACATCTCAGAGACTCCATTTAGTCTCCTTTTTAAACTTCTCTTTCCTGGACGCGAGAATAACCATCACAGTTAACAATTGGTGACCCTGACGTGATTCTCGTTGGACAGAAGAGACTACACAACCAGCTGTTTTCCGGAGACGTGGCACCCGTTCGACACAACGAGCTCGAATACTTGGTAAGAGGAAACCTGTTAAATCAAATTCTTCATAGTTTATGCAGTACAAAATAGGTTTGTGTTGGACGGAGGCCAGCGGATCCTGAAAATAGCTGTGCATTTAATGTTAAAACAACCAAATTTATAACAATAAGAATTCCATAACACGTGGCGTTGCATTTTCGCAAGCAGGGTGAGTTCACACTTCCTTTGTTCCCTAATTTAACCCTGCATGCTATTAATTTGTGTGTGTGTAGTATTTTAAAATATAAATGTGTGAGGCCATTGTACTTTGGGTAGGTGTCTTGTTGTGTTTTCATGTAGGTGTCCCTTGTTACGTCAGTAGTTAAATTAGCCTATGACGTAAGGATATATAAGTCCATTTAACGATTATTGTTAAGATCTGTGGGACATAGCGAATTGATTAAGGATCAAGTAATTGAAAACCAACAAGGCATAGCGAATCAACTTAGGGTTGAGTAACTGAAGACAGTGCTAGTCGAAAACAGTTGAGAACTGTTTTAAAAAAGTCCTTTTGAGGAAAGGCTTGATTAAGGTGTAAGCTTTATCAGTGGTCATAACTGTTCTAGTTTCAACCAAGATATTGCGGGTGGAATACGAGATGTGGAGTTACAACAGCATTACGTTAAATTGACGACGGTCATTTAATGGTCGCTGATAAGTTACCATAATACTCCCACCTAGCGTGTCGAAATGGCAGCAGTTGACCAATAGTGGACTATAAAGTCAAATAATACGTAGATAGGTTTATAGCTTATGCGTAAGGGTTCCTAACTTTAAGTGATGATATCAATAAGATAAAGCCCATTTTTTCATAGTAAACTAGATAGAAATGTTATTTTAAACTGCAGTGTTGTTTTGTGTTCAATTTTCTTGACAAGATTACACCCCGCCATTATTTAAACTCCCCAGTGAGAGCCACGAGGTGTTTTCAAATCCCTTTGTTCTTCAGGTCAAAGGTTGGAAAATCAGTTGCCATCTTGTCTTGTCCTCATGCTGAAGCCACACGGCAGTCGCCATTTCGTGAAATGCTAATTGAAAGTACTCTGTTTGTTTTGACACACAGTCCCACTCACATGAGGCTAGGCACTCCATATTGAGAAGGACAAATCATATTTCTTGGCAGAGTTGGAACTATAAAATAGACAGGTTATCTTACCGTGGGAAGTTTGGTATTTGTAGGAGTCTGGATTTGAGATATTCTTGTTGGCAAGTGTGTATTGGCGGTTTATTTGAGACATTCTTGTTGGCAAGTGTGTATTGGCGGTTTATTTGAGATATTCTTGTTTGCAAGTGTGTTTTGGCGGTTATGTGCTGTGTTGTTTAACCATATTCAAATGTTCTTCCCATTTTTAAGGAAATAAGCTTCTTCTTGTTAAAAAGAGGTCAGTTTTGCAACAGCTATCCCTAGTGGATTGACCTGGAAATTACAACAGCGCACTCTGCTGGTAATACAGAATTATTACAAAGATACTATAAGATTTTGAAGTTTAATTTTGAGTGTTATTAATGAACACATTCGCCAGGACATAATTACAGAGTGGTTTCTAATTAAGATATGAGAAACTTTACATCATAGACTTTCAAACTAGACTGTAGAATATTCAAACACCAATTGATTAAATCGAACACAAATTATGACATTTATCTAGTTCCATACATTTCAGTATGCACTGTACACAGTAGATTTAGATTTTCACAAGACTTCGATTTTCATATCTCAAAGTCAAAACGATACACTGTACAATTTTTATTTTAACATTTCAGATTTTAAATTTTTTGCATAATTTCTTATCTTTTAATTTAATTTATTAATATTTAAAAAAAAAAAAAAAAAACATCTAAAATCAAAAAAAAAAAATATATATTCTAAAAAAAAAATTAAAAAAAAACCCTACCCAGATTTAAAGTTAAGTTCGGATGACATAGGATATTATTTATCAGGAACGAAGGTGCTAGTCGGAGGATTACTGTTTCAATCTTTGATAACTTATTAATATTCATTCGAATAGTTAGAGAACATGTCACCAAAAGAAACTAAATTGAGGTTAGACGCAGAGCCAGGCACAACTGCAGATATCAAGGAAAGGGTAAAAATCAGATCAGATGCTACAACAGTTCCAAAACTTAGACAGAAGACATGGAACCAAGCTGAGAAACTGTGGGAACAGTGGCAAACGAGAGGACTGTTTCCAGCAGATGATCAGCCTGGACCAACGAAAGCCCATAGAAAAGCTGTAATAGACCATGAGAATGGAGAATATCTGCGAGAGCAACAAGCATGGATCAAAGCCGGACAACCCTCTTGGTATGGATCTGCAAATATTGCTATGAACAAAGCAGAGATAAGAAAAACACAAGTTACAGTTCTGATGCTCCATTTAAAGTATACTGTTAATGAGACGGCAAACATGTACGTCGTTCAAAGAGAAAATCCGCTAGAGAAGGAACATACAACGGGAAAAATAGAAGAAGTTCCAGTAATCCATACTCCAAAGCTCTATCCAGACCTGCCTCAGAAACCTCCTCCTTACATGACAGAACCAGAACTTTTCTCTCAAACCGCGATACAAGCCCCAACTTTTAATATTGCAGGAGGAATATTGAATTTGGACGAAGTCCCCACAGAGAGAAGTGTCAAAGAATTGGACTTTGAAGTAAGAATGCTAAACAGTAAATCTGACCAGCTGCGGGAGAGTTTTGAACACGACATGCAAGAATTGAGGGACATGACTAGAGATCACCATGTTCAGCGAAACATGCTACGAACACCCATGTCATTCCAGCCCAACAAGAAACCTCCCGTTGCTGAGGCATTACCAACCACAGGTTCAGACACGGCGATTTTCTCTCTACTACCAACAACAGCAGAAAAGGAGGCACAGGAAATGTTCAGAGAGCAACAGGAACACAAACAAGCTACAGAAGAAAAACGAAAGGAGGAGGCGTATAATGATATGATGACAGAAAGAAGGGCAGAAGATGATTCAGGAACGTCAGGTGCAAAGACGACAAAAAGTGGAAGGATACCAGGAGATGTTGGCAGCAAGACAAAACAAACACAGACGGGACAAAGAAAGGGAAGAAAGAAAACAACAAACGACAAATAATTGGGGACAATCACAAACAACACGCCGAACAAACTACTCTCCTGACAATTCCAAAGGACAGGGAGATGAAGAAGACGATGGCACACAGTCTGAAACCAGTCGACACTTCCCATACCATGAACAATCAAATCAGCAACGAAATTTTGCATCTCCTCCTGAGAATACTAGTAGCGATGAAAACGAGCAACATTCCCCTGGGACATGCCCCAAAACCAGAAGAACCAAGACAGCTCGAAGAACCAAGACTGGTGCACACACCTCCATGCCATTGATAGCGGTTGGAAGAGGACTTGAATACCAACCATGGACTCACAGGGACATGGAAACATTAGTGGCAAAACTACCTCCACTCACCCAAGGAGGTCAGAGGTGGGTGAATGATCTGGAGAAATACACAGTCCAAGACCACCTGTGCTTGGGAGATACGAGGGCACTGCTTGGACGGATAGAAGGAAGACTAGAGGCAAGAGCAGTGGATTCCAAGGCCAAATGCACCAACTCTCCAGATGATATTTCCTTCAACAAAATCAGGACGAGCTATTGGGCTGCCATTCGTCACATTTACCCAACAACACGCAGTTTACATGCCCTCAACAGCCTGAGAAAAGAACCTGGGGAAGACATGCATGCTTTCCTCAAGAGATGTGAAGGAGTGTGGGAGGACTGCACTGGAGAACGACATGACACCTCACCGGCTGTCATAATGCTGTGGAAGAACGCAGTCATCAAAGCCCTTCCCAAATCAGTGCAGGCACGCCTGGGAGATGTGGTGGGATTGGAAGCTAAACTCCCAGAAGAATGGAGACTAAATCTCATCCACCACGACATCAAATACCAGGAAATAAAGGTGGAAGACGATGAAGAAACAAAGAAACTGGCAAAAAGACTTTTGAAGATGCAGGTAGCTGAGAGAGATACTGAAGCCACTATGAACAAGAAATTGACAAGGCAGATGCCAGCTGTAACAGAAATGGTCATACTAGCAGAGAAAGGAGGGCAGACGCCTCAAACAGTTCCAACTCAGATAGTGCCAGAAAATCAGATCCAGAACCAACAAAGAGGTAGAGGAGGTTTCCGAGGAAAAGGCAGAGGAAAAGGTTTCCGGTTTGAGGGATGCTACATATGCAGTCAGCTGGGCCATTGGGCCAAAGATTGTCCAAATCAACAAACACAAAACCCACCACAAGCCTTACAATACAATCCTATACTATTTCAACAGCCTCAGACGCAACAGTATTATCCCCAGGTACAGCAACCACCTGTGTATACCCCTGTGCAACTACAGCCACAAACACCCACGTACATGCCTACACAGTATCAACAAAGGGGAGGACCCGGTGGAGGCAGAGGATTCCAGGGACAACCAGGAGGAGGAGGGGTGCCAAACATGAACCAAATGCCTCTGACAGCTTGGAGTGATCCATATGTATGAGGAGGCCCAGAGGATCCAATCACAGGTGACGCAATTCCAGCCCAAGATGAACCAATGGTCACCTGTGAGATTGAGGGAGAGAAGGTGGAAATGATGGTGGACACAGGAGCCACAGCTTCCTGTTTGACAAGATTGAAAGGAAAACCACCACCTCTCTCAAATCACACCCTCAAAACAGTTGGATACTCGGGAAAAATTGATGTACAGAAATATACATTACCATTGGTCACGAAAATTGGGAAGCAACTCCTGCAACATCCTTTCCTCTATGCACCAAACTGTCCCATAAATCTGATGGGAAGAGACCTGCTCGTAAAAACAGGAGCGAGAATTCTATGCACACCAGATGGGCTGATTATCCAATTTCCAGGCCAGATACCACTCTACCAGACGTACGACGGACAGCAGAGAATCATGATGATGGCAGCAAATCCAGAAAACGACGAAGAAAATGACACGACCACGGTGTACTGGAGCCGCCTGAGCACCACTGAAATCGATACTCCACAAGTCCAAAGAACTTACATGGACTGGAAGCCATGGATAAACACATTGGGACCCTATGGGCCCCCCCAAGATCCTCTACATTGTACGTACAATTATCTAAGACGACCAGATGAAGAATATCAAGACGCTTGGATGGAAGATAAAGAGGGGAAGACAGAAGATTTGACTGTAGCAGACATCTACGTCGGACCGCAGGGTGTAGCAGCGGCGGTAAAACTCACAACAGAACAAAAACAATGGTACAATTTATCTGAAGAAGCTGTTCCTCATGTCACACTCGCCATGACCATAGGAGCTGAGTCCAGATCATTGGGTCCAATGATAAAGACTGCATTGAACACAGAATGGTTGGCAACAGAATCACCTTTTCTGTGGCGATCAACAGACCAGACGATGTGGAGGATTGGAAACAATAGCCAGGAACAAGGGCTATTGGAGAAGCAAGAATTGGACAGAGATCATGGACGAGAACACACAAACCATCCGGACACAGAGGAAATGCTGATGCAGGTGCCTACACATCTTTGGACCACTGGAGACTATGATGTAGGATTAGTGAATCATGAGGTCTCAGTGGAGCTGGTGGAAAATTACAAACCATGTTGGCGCCCGCAATACAAATTGAAGCAAGAACAAATAGATGGGATAGGAAACACCATTCAAGGATTGTTGCAAGCTGGAGTAATCAGACACACCGGCTCAAATTGGAATACTCCCATCTTACCAGTACCAAAAGCTGGAAACAAGGGATGGAGAATGGTCCATGATCTAAGAGAAGTCAACAATGTCACTAAAACTGCAAATATTCCTGTTCCCGATCCACATGTAGCATTACAAAATCTTAATCCAGGTCACAAATATTTCACAGTGATAGATCTAGCTAATGCATTCTTTTGCTTACCATTAGATCCAAAGGTTCAGGATATATTTGCTTTTACCTACCAAAGGCAGCGATACACTTACAATCGGATGCCACAGGGTTACAAAGATAGTCCAGGATTATTTAACCGTGCTCTGAAACAAGACCTCAGTGCATTGCAACTACCGGAGGGAGTGACTCTGATACAGTATGTTGATGATTTACTTCTAGCCGGGCCAGATGCAGCAACATGTCTGGCCGTGACACAAAAATTGCTACTCCTACTGGCCAATGTGGGCTACAAAGTGAAGAAAGAAAAAAACACAGATCGCAAGGAGAACAGTTACATTCCTGGGAAGGATGATTTCCTCGAACAGTCTAACTCTGACACCAGCACAACGGTCTTCCATCCTCTCCCAACCAAAACCCAAAACAGTGCAACAAATGCTTGCGTTCCTGGGCCTGACAGGTTACAGCAGGACGTACATACCTGACTATGTGGATTTGACACAACCACTGAGACACATAATTGCAGAAGCAGGAAACAGAAATCTCAAAGCTACTCTTGAGTGGACAACGTTGGCCGAAGAAGCTTTCACGAAGACGAAGCAAGCCCTGAGTCAAGCGGCACACCTTTCCACTCCTGATTATGACGATGATTTTTGCCTTGATGTTTCTGAATCAGGTGGAATAGTCAACGGGGTCCTGTTTCAGAAAAAAGGGGGAGTGAGACAGGTACTGATGTACCATAGCTCAAAGTTAGACAATATAGAACTAGGCCAGACAGGATGTGCAAGACATCTAGCTGCACTAGCAAAAGTCATTGAGAAAACTGCACATGTGGTAATGTGCCACCCATTGAAAGTCAACACAGCCCATGGAGTAGTAGCATTTATAAATTCACAAGCATTCACATTTTCCCCAATCAGGAAAATCAAGATTCAGACCAGTCTGTTGAAACCACATATAACATACCAAGCTGATTTAACAAACATGTCTACAGGACTGAGCACTGAAGAGCACACACCCCATGACTGTCAGTTCGTCTCCCAAAAGGATCTCAAGATAAGATCAGATTTGGAAACAGATCCTTTGGACCAACCAGACCTCACTCTCTACAGTGACGGCTGCTGTTACAAGGGAGACAACGGGAATGTGGCCTCCTATGCCGTAGTCCAGCAGGAGGGAGAAAATATACAGACATTGGAAGCAGAAATCATCTCCCAACCTGCTTCGGCCCAACTGGCAGAAGTAGTGGCACTCACCAAAGCCTTGGAGCATGCAAAGGGACAGCGAGTCAACATCTACACAGATTCAGCGTATGCCTATGGAGCAGTGCATATAGACGGACCACAGTGGATCAGAAGAGGGTTCCTAACATCTGCTAAGACACCAGTAAAACATGCTGAAGCGCTAAAACTCCTGCTAACATCTTTGCTGTTGCCAGCACAAGTGGCAGTAATGAAATGCAAAGGACATCAAACATTGAACAATGCAATATCCAGAGGAAACGATGCAGCAGACAAGGCAGCAAAGAAAGCAGGAGGGTACAGCAAGCAAATATGTACAAAGGCCAATACTCAAGAGGAGTTAACCACCGAACACATCAAAGATATGCAGAAATATGCTGGAGTGTATGAACAGAATCAATGGAGTCAGAAAGGAGCAAAGGAAGTAGATGGCCTGTGGAGAGCCCACGACGGACGTTTAGTCGCACCTGCAAAATTATGCCACTTGCTAATAGAACAATCACATGGTCCCACTCATGTAGGCAAAGCAAGAACAACAAAAGACATTGAACAACAGTGGTGGCATCCTTACATGAAGGACATGGTTGAGAATTTCGTAAACGACTGTGACACGTGCAATGCATTCAATGTAAAAAAGCCATACAAGTGCCCAATGGGAAGATATCCAGTCCCAGAAGCCCCATTCAAAGACATTTGTATTGATTATACAGACATGGGAGCAGACAATGTAGTCAGAGGGTTTAGATATATGTTAGTAATGATTGATCGTTATACGAGATGGATTGAAGCCATTCCTTGTAAAAAAGAAGATGCAAAGACAGTCATTAAATGGCTCAAAACAGAACTCGTACCCCGTTATGGAGTGCCAAGGATAATAAGATCAGACAATGGTTCACATTTTACAAGCAAACACTTGGAGGAAGTTGAGTTATATTTTGGTATAATTCATAAGTTTGGGTCAGTATACCACCCACAATCTCAGGGCATAGTAGAAAGAGCAAATCGAACATTAAAAGGGAAAATAGCAAAAGTCATTTTTGGCACAAACATGAAATGGGTAGATGCTTTGCCTCTGGCACTCATGTCAATGAGATCTTCTGAGGGTGCTAAAACACATCTTTCACCCCATGAGTTGTTAACTGGTCGGCCAATGCCTGGGCCTCCTAGAGAAGGAGGGACTGGCCCAGTTTTAGACATCAGACAAATAGAAGTGGATGAATATGTCAGGGCTCTGAGTAATATTATCCAAGTCTTGTCTACACAGGTTCAGAGAACTGCAGAGACACCAGACGAGACACCAGAAGAGACTCCTGTACGGCCGGGTGATTGGGTGAGGTTGAAAGTTCACAAAAGAAAGTGGGCTGAACCCAGGTGGACGGGGCCGTGGGAAGTTGTTGAAAGAACTTCACACGCTCTCCGGATAAAAGGTAAAAAAGGAGCAAATTGGCACCACCTGACACATTGTCGCCCTGCACAGGCACCTTCCAGAAAGCTCTTGGAAGTTAGGACTGATTTGGCAGAGCTGGAACAAAACGATGAATAAAAAATCAAAACAAGAGATATTAAGATAGAAACAGCTCAAAAGACGAATTGTCTTTAGGTTTTAGAGATTGGATACTAAAACGGAATACCCATTCTTGTTTTACATCTGAAACCCATTTATTCTATCAGTCCAATATTTTTGTTTTATTATTTTTATTCTATCACCAATATTTTTGTTTTATTATTTTTATTCTATCACCAATATTTTTGTTTTATTATTTTTATTCTATCTGTCCAATATTTTTGTTTTATTATTTCTTATATAGTTTATTTTTAGTATTCATTCATTTTAAAACTCTCAAACTGATATAACCATGGGTAAAATTGATGAAACGCCATTGAAGAAGTCAGAACATTTAAGGGGCCCCCTGGGAATAAGAATCGTAGTAACATTGTTAGCGGTGTTCATCTCAATTGGCATTTTCCTGGTTGGGTGGGGGGTACAGCATCGTGAAGAACCCGAATCCATTCGAGCCCTCGTAGAAAATGCCAATATCACTAACAAAACTTCAGCTGTGTTTAGGACATTTCCATTTATCCCCAGAGCCAAAAGATCAGCTGAGAGACTGAAGGAGGGGTTGGAAATACTCATCCCCAGAGGTGAAGCGGTTACGGTCAGTCTTGATGTGTGTGATGTGGTTGTATGTGGAGAGCTGCGAGATAAAACAGGCCATGACGTTTATGGGTGCATTCATGCTTGGGGACGGCCAGATGATAATTCATGGTGTCCCGGTTCAGAGAAGGTATACTGGAGTGCAAGGGCAGAAGGTAATAACAATCCCCCTGGTTTGGCGTTTAGGTCTTAGCTATCTTTTTCCAAAGGTCGCCATAGTGGAGATATGAGCAAACACAATCCAATAATAATTGCTTTTAAAAGCGCACTCACTCCCCATTTCAAGAAACAGGGAGACGTCACTGCATTCCATTTACTGATGGGGATAGAAGTTCCTGGAAAAGACCCAATGGGATCAATTTTAGTGAAGATAATTGACCCACCAGCAGATGTAATCCCTGATCTCGCCCCAAAATATACTGAATCACCCTTTAAACCAGAACCAGAAATCCCCCCTGCTAAATCTGTGAACAATCCACTGGTCACCTATCTGAGTACGACCTCTATACAGAAAGTCATAGCAGTGGAAACAGGATACGAGGACACAAATTCTTGGTTAGACTGGGTTGTTTATTCTGTTAAGCAGAGCAAGATGGCGGACTGTCTGGCCTGTGCGGCTGCCCGACCAAGTTTGGGAACAGTGCCATTTCCATTTAACGCCCACAACAACCCAAGAGGACAACGCTGTATGTACAAACTCTATGGACAAAAATCCCCAGCAGATTGTGTCGACATTGCACAAAAGTATCCAGTGGTAAAAATAAATGACATTCCACCTGACTTCACGTCTTACGAGGGACTGTATGACTGCATCACAAGGGACTACCTAAAAGGTACAGAAGTAGGAACTCTTAAGTGGTGCAATTCTACAACGATTTTAAGTAACCAGGATTTTCTCCCAGGTATAACTATGCCCATTAGACAGTATCCCAGAACAGATGTGTGGTGGTATTGTGGCACTAAAACCCTGTATTCAGTTTTACCACAGGATTGGACAGGGACCTGTGCACTGGTACAGCTAGTGATGCCTTTTTATGCAGTACCGATGACGGCCGAGCAACTGATAAACATGGCAGTCCAACCCAAAGCAACTAGAGCCAAAAGGTCAGTCTTTTCAGGGAGTTTTGATTCCACTGTGTACATAGACAGCATAGGGGTGCCCAGGGGAGTTCCAGACGAGTTTAAAGCTAGAAACCAGATCTTAGCAGGATTGGAATCCATTTTCCTTTGGCCTACAATAAATAAGAATGTGGACTGGATTAACTATATCTACTACAATCAGCAGAGGTTCATAAATCACTCCAAGGACGCAATGAAGGGACTAAGCGAGCAACTGGACAAGACCAGCCAGATGTCTTTGCAGAACAGAGTGGCCCTAGATATGTTGCTGGCAGAAAAAGGGGGTGTATGCAAAATGTTTGGAACATTATGTTGTACTTTCATCCCAAACAACACCTCACCTGATGGATCAGTAAACAAGGCTCTGAAGGGACTCACTACTCTAAGCATGGAGTTAGCAGACAACAGCGGGATAGAGATGAACCCCCTGGGGGGTTTCTTAGATGGTTGGCTGGGGAAGTACAAGGATTTCCTAGTGAGTGGACTGATGTATGTGTCAGGTGTGATCGTGATATTGGCACTGTGCTGTTGTTGTTTCTCGACCTGCATCCGCGCTTTTGCAAACCGACTGATTAATGGGGCCCTCAACCAGGAATATGCTAGGGGTCAATATCACATGGGGGGACAGTTTCCAATGCTAGCAGAACAGGACGATCCACCCCCGTATACAGATGTAGATGAAAATGACGAGTTAGTTTGAATGATGTTAAATGATGTGGATGTTCAGAGATGAGATTGTTCAATGAATGTCCAGCCGATGTGACTCTTTAAATGATGAAATCATCTGAAGAAGTGAGCAAAATAAAATGCTAAAATGGAGTGAATCCATTTCACTGAACTCTATACTATTCCAAGATAGTGTATTTTTATTTTTAATTACTCTATACTATTCCAAGATAGTGTATTTTTATTTTTAATTACTCTATACTATTCCAAGATAGTGTATTTTTTGTTTTATTATTACATTACACTGGTACAAGATAGTTTATTTCATTTTTATTATTTTTCACTGTTCTATATGGTAGATTTCATGTATTTTCGAATCATTACAATTCTAAAATGAATAGTTTATTTTCACTTTGTAAAAACAAGTGCCTTAACACTGAGTGTATTATAAGAACGGTTTCTGTGAAAGGAGGGAGGAATAAATGTTCTGATACCAAGCCATTGCTGCTATTTTGAAGAGCCATATTGAATGTTAACACTAGAAGTTATGCACAAGGGAAAACTTTTATGTTTGAACACAGTCAAAGTATTTTTGTATTTTTGTAAAGTTGAGGATATTCGCACTATTCCATTTTGATTGTATGTTTTTGATATGAATGATGTACTATGCAGAGTTCAGATGAAGAACTCATTGATTTCAGTATTATACACACCTTTTAGGTGTGTAAGGAGGGACTGTTAGAAATTAAAATCAATGTTTTGATGGCATAATGTACCTTAAATGTACCTTCAGTTTAAATGCTGTTTTATACTGAAAAACCAGAAAATTATTGTGCACAACCAGATAAGCTTTTATTCTGAAAATCCTTCATCTCCGGTTAGCATGTGGCTAGTTTACCATTTCTTATAAAGGTTAATTTAGTAGCGAAATGACATGGAGTGATGCACACCGAAACCTACTGATTTTAACACTGCAACTATAGAAGTATTATTATTGCTGAATATTGAATAAAGTTATTGTTTACAGACGTGGGTAAGATGTGACAACATCCGGAATGACCAGAAACCAAACCAGCCGTGAAGTATTTTCTGTATTTTTTAGAATATTAACTACAACGTTTAGAATGTGTTAAAGGAAAAGTGATGAAAGACAATATGAGGAGAAGAGTCGTGTTTAAGTATATATTGAATGTACAATGCCTGAATCCTCTGTTTAAACGTAACAACGGACATTAAGATGTGGAGGGCCGGCCCGCAGGGAGGAGCCTACAGAAGCTATATAAGAGCAGCACCTGAGCGGTTCGGCCTCTTTTCTCTGCTAGCGAGGGCCAGAGACAGCTGCTTTTCTGTCGGACAATATCCTGTTTGTGACTGTACCACGCCTTTTTATTAATTAAAGTACCAATTTGAAAACATCTCAGAGACTCCATTTAGTCTCCTTTTTAAACTTCTCTTTCCTGGACGCGAGAATAACCATCACAGTTAACAATTGGTGACCCTGACGTGATTCTCGTTGGACAGAAGAGACTACACAACCAGCTGTTTCCGGAGACGTGGCACCCGTTCGACACAACGAGCTCGAATACTTGGTAAGAGGAAACCTGTTAAATCAAATTCTTCATAGTTTATGCAGTACAAAATAGGTTTGTGTTGGACGGAGGCCAGCGGATCCTGAAAATAGCTGTGCATTTAATGTTAAAACAACCAAATTTATAACAATAAGAATTCCATAACACGTGGCGTTGCATTTTCGCAAGCAGGGTGAGTTCACACTTCCTTTGTTCCCTAATTTAACCCTGCATGCTATTAATTTGTGTGTGTGTAGTATTTTAAAATATAAATGTGTGAGGCCATTGTACTTTGGGTAGGTGTCTTGTTGTGTTTTCATGTAGGTGTCCCTTGTTACGTCAGTAGTTAAATTAGCCTATGACGTAAGGATATATAAGTCCATTTAACGATTATTGTTAAGATCTGTGGGACATAGCGAATTGATTAAGGATCAAGTAATTGAAAACCAACAAGGCATAGCGAATCAACTTAGGGTTGAGTAACTGAAGACAGTGCTAGTCGAAAACAGTTGAGAACTGTTTTAAAAAAGTCCTTTTGAGGAAAGGCTTGATTAAGGTGTAAGCTTTATCAGTGGTCATAACTGTTCTAGTTTCAACCAAGATATTGCGGGTGGAATACGAGATGTGGAGTTACAACAGCATTACGTTAAATTGACGACGGTCATTTAATGGTCGCTGATAAGTTACCATAATACTCCCACCTAGCGTGTCGAAATGGCAGCAGTTGACCAATAGTGGACTATAAAGTCAAATAATACGTAGATAGGTTTATAGCTTATGCGTAAGGGTTCCTAACTTTAAGTGATGATATCAATAAGATAAAGCCCATTTTTTCATAGTAAACTAGATAGAAATGTTATTTTAAACTGCAGTGTTGTTTTGTGTTCAATTTTCTTGACAAGATTACACCCCGCCATTATTTAAACTCCCCAGTGAGAGCCACGAGGTGTTTTCAAATCCCTTTGTTCTTCAGGTCAAAGGTTGGAAAATCAGTTGCCATCTTGTCTTGTCCTCATGCTGAAGCCACACGGCAGTCGCCATTTCGTGAAATGCTAATTGAAAGTACTCTGTTTGTTTTGACACACAGTCCCACTCACATGAGGCTAGGCACTCCATATTGAGAAGGACAAATCATATTTCTTGGCAGAGTTGGAACTATAAAATAGACAGGTTATCTTACCGTGGGAAGTTTGGTATTTGTAGGAGTCTGGATTTGAGATATTCTTGTTGGCAAGTGTGTATTGGCGGTTTATTTGAGACATTCTTGTTGGCAAGTGTGTATTGGCGGTTTATTTGAGATATTCTTGTTTGCAAGTGTGTTTTGGCGGTTATGTGCTGTGTTGTTTAACCATATTCAAATGTTCTTCCCATTTTTAAGGAAATAAGCTTCTTCTTGTTAAAAAGAGGTCAGTTTTGCAACAGCTATCCCTAGTGGATTGACCTGGAAATTACAACAGCGCACTCTGCTGGTAATACAGAATTATTACAAAGATACTATAAGATTTTGAAGTTTAATTTTGAGTGTTATTAATGAACACATTCGCCAGGACATAATTACAGAGTGGTTTCTAATTAAGATATGAGAAACTTTACATCATAGACTTTCAAACTAGACTGTAGAATATTCAAACACCAATTGATTAAATCGAACACAAATTATGACATTTATCTAGTTCCATACATTTCAGTATGCACTGTACACAGTAGATTTAGATTTTCACAAGACTTCGATTTTCATATCTCAAAGTCAAAACGATACACTGTACAATTTTTATTTTAACATTTCAGATTTTAAATTTTTTGCATAATTTCTTATCTTTTAATTTAATTTATTAATATTTAAAAAAAAAAAAAAAAAAACATCTAAAATCAAAAAAAATATATATATATTCTAAAAAAAAAATTAAAAAAAAACCCTACCCAGATTTAAAGTTAAGTTCGGATGACATAGGATATTATTTATCAGGAACGAAGGTGCTAGTCGGAGGATTACTGTTTCAATCTTTGATAACTTATTAATATTCATTCGAATAGTTAGAGAACATGTCACCAAAAGAAACTAAATTGAGGTTAGACGCAGAGCCAGGCACAACTGCAGATATCAAGGAAAGGGTAAAAATCAGATCAGATGCTACAACAGTTCCAAAACTTAGACAGAAGACATGGAACCAAGCTGAGAAACTGTGGGAACAGTGGCAAACGAGAGGACTGTTTCCAGCAGATGATCAGCCTGGACCAACGAAAGCCCATAGAAAAGCTGTAATAGACCATGAGAATGGAGAATATCTGCGAGAGCAACAAGCATGGATCAAAGCCGGACAACCCTCTTGGTATGGATCTGCAAATATTGCTATGAACAAAGCAGAGATAAGAAAAACACAAGTTACAGTTCTGATGCTCCATTTAAAGTATACTGTTAATGAGACGGCAAACATGTACGTCGTTCAAAGAGAAAATCCGCTAGAGAAGCAGGCAACATACAACGGGAAAAATAGAAGAAGTTCCAGTAATCCATACTCCAAAGCTCTATCCAGACCTGCCTCAGAAACCTCCTCCTTACATGACAGAACCAGAACTTTTCTCTCAAACCGCGATACAAGCCCCAACTTTTAATATTGCAGGAGGAATATTGAATTTGGACGAAGTCCCCACAGAGAGAAGTGTCAAAGAATTGGACTTTGAAGTAAGAATGCTAAACAGTAAATCTGACCAGCTGCGGGAGAGTTTTGAACACGACATGCAAGAATTGAGGGACATGACTAGAGATCACCATGTTCAGCGAAACATGCTACGAACACCCATGTCATTCCAGCCCAACAAGAAACCTCCCGTTGCTGAGGCATTACCAACCACAGGTTCAGACACGGCGATTTTCTCTCTACTACCAACAACAGCAGAAAAGGAGGCACAGGAAATGTTCAGAGAGCAACAGGAACACAAACAAGCTACAGAAGAAAAACGAAAGGAGGAGGCGTATAATGATATGATGACAGAAAGAAGGGCAGAAGATGATTCAGGAACGTCAGGTGCAAAGACGACAAAAAGTGGAAGGATACCAGGAGATGTTGGCAGCAAGACAAAACAAACACAGACGGGACAAAGAAAGGGAAGAAAGAAAACAACAAACGACAAATAATTGGGGACAATCACAAACAACACGCCGAACAAACTACTCTCCTGACAATTCCAAAGGACAGGGAGATGAAGAAGACGATGGCACACAGTCTGAAACCAGTCGACACTTCCCATACCATGAACAATCAAATCAGCAACGAAATTTTGCATCTCCTCCTGAGAATACTAGTAGCGATGAAAACGAGCAACATTCCCCTGGGACATGCCCCAAAACCAGAAGAACCAAGACAGCTCGAAGAACCAAGACTGGTGCACACACCTCCATGCCATTGATAGCGGTTGGAAGAGGACTTGAATACCAACCATGGACTCACAGGGACATGGAAACATTAGTGGCAAAACTACCTCCACTCACCCAAGGAGGTCAGAGGTGGGTGAATGATCTGGAGAAATACACAGTCCAAGACCACCTGTGCTTGGGAGATACGAGGGCACTGCTTGGACGGATAGAAGGAAGACTAGAGGCAAGAGCAGTGGATTCCAAGGCCAAATGCACCAACTCTCCAGATGATATTTCCTTCAACAAAATCAGGACGAGCTATTGGGCTGCCATTCGTCACATTTACCCAACAACACGCAGTTTACATGCCCTCAACAGCCTGAGAAAAGAACCTGGGGAAGACATGCATGCTTTCCTCAAGAGATGTGAAGGAGTGTGGGAGGACTGCACTGGAGAACGACATGACACCTCACCGGCTGTCATAATGCTGTGGAAGAACGCAGTCATCAAAGCCCTTCCCAAATCAGTGCAGGCACGCCTGGGAGATGTGGTGGGATTGGAAGCTAAACTCCCAGAAGAATGGAGACTAAATCTCATCCACCACGACATCAAATACCAGGAAATAAAGGTGGAAGACGATGAAGAAACAAAGAAACTGGCAAAAAGACTTTTGAAGATGCAGGTAGCTGAGAGAGATACTGAAGCCACTATGAACAAGAAATTGACAAGGCAGATGCCAGCTGTAACAGAAATGGTCATACTAGCAGAGAAAGGAGGGCAGACGCCTCAAACAGTTCCAACTCAGATAGTGCCAGAAAATCAGATCCAGAACCAACAAAGAGGTAGAGGAGGTTTCCGAGGAAAAGGCAGAGGAAAAGGTTTCCGGTTTGAGGGATGCTACATATGCAGTCAGCTGGGCCATTGGGCCAAAGATTGTCCAAATCAACAAACACAAAACCCACCACAAGCCTTACAATACAATCCTATACTATTTCAACAGCCTCAGACGCAACAGTATTATCCCCAGGTACAGCAACCACCTGTGTATACCCCTGTGCAACTACAGCCACAAACACCCACGTACATGCCTACACAGTATCAACAAAGGGGAGGACCCGGTGGAGGCAGAGGATTCCAGGGACAACCAGGAGGAGGAGGGGTGCCAAACATGAACCAAATGCCTCTGACAGCTTGGAGTGATCCATATGTATGAGGAGGCCCAGAGGATCCAATCACAGGTGACGCAATTCCAGCCCAAGATGAACCAATGGTCACCTGTGAGATTGAGGGAGAGAAGGTGGAAATGATGGTGGACACAGGAGCCACAGCTTCCTGTTTGACAAGATTGAAAGGAAAACCACCACCTCTCTCAAATCACACCCTCAAAACAGTTGGATACTCGGGAAAAATTGATGTACAGAAATATACATTACCATTGGTCACGAAAATTGGGAAGCAACTCCTGCAACATCCTTTCCTCTATGCACCAAACTGTCCCATAAATCTGATGGGAAGAGACCTGCTCGTAAAAACAGGAGCGAGAATTCTATGCACACCAGATGGGCTGATTATCCAATTTCCAGGCCAGATACCACTCTACCAGACGTACGACGGACAGCAGAGAATCATGATGATGGCAGCAAATCCAGAAAACGACGAAGAAAATGACACGACCACGGTGTACTGGAGCCGCCTGAGCACCACTGAAATCGATACTCCACAAGTCCAAAGAACTTACATGGACTGGAAGCCATGGATAAACACATTGGGACCCTATGGGCCCCCCCAAGATCCTCTACATTGTACGTACAATTATCTAAGACGACCAGATGAAGAATATCAAGACGCTTGGATGGAAGATAAAGAGGGGAAGACAGAAGATTTGACTGTAGCAGACATCTACGTCGGACCGCAGGGTGTAGCAGCGGCGGTAAAACTCACAACAGAACAAAAACAATGGTACAATTTATCTGAAGAAGCTGTTCCTCATGTCACACTCGCCATGACCATAGGAGCTGAGTCCAGATCATTGGGTCCAATGATAAAGACTGCATTGAACACAGAATGGTTGGCAACAGAATCACCTTTTCTGTGGCGATCAACAGACCAGACGATGTGGAGGATTGGAAACAATAGCCAGGAACAAGGGCTATTGGAGAAGCAAGAATTGGACAGAGATCATGGACGAGAACACACAAACCATCCGGACACAGAGGAAATGCTGATGCAGGTGCCTACACATCTTTGGACCACTGGAGACTATGATGTAGGATTAGTGAATCATGAGGTCTCAGTGGAGCTGGTGGAAAATTACAAACCATGTTGGCGCCCGCAATACAAATTGAAGCAAGAACAAATAGATGGGATAGGAAACACCATTCAAGGATTGTTGCAAGCTGGAGTAATCAGACACACCGGCTCAAATTGGAATACTCCCATCTTACCAGTACCAAAAGCTGGAAACAAGGGATGGAGAATGGTCCATGATCTAAGAGAAGTCAACAATGTCACTAAAACTGCAAATATTCCTGTTCCCGATCCACATGTAGCATTACAAAATCTTAATCCAGGTCACAAATATTTCACAGTGATAGATCTAGCTAATGCATTCTTTTGCTTACCATTAGATCCAAAGGTTCAGGATATATTTGCTTTTACCTACCAAAGGCAGCGATACACTTACAATCGGATGCCACAGGGTTACAAAGATAGTCCAGGATTATTTAACCGTGCTCTGAAACAAGACCTCAGTGCATTGCAACTACCGGAGGGAGTGACTCTGATACAGTATGTTGATGATTTACTTCTAGCCGGGCCAGATGCAGCAACATGTCTGGCCGTGACACAAAAATTGCTACTCCTACTGGCCAATGTGGGCTACAAAGTGAAGAAAGAAAAAACACAGATCGCAAGGAGAACAGTTACATTCCTGGGAAGGATGATTTCCTCGAACAGTCTAACTCTGACACCAGCACAACGGTCTTCCATCCTCTCCCAACCAAAACCCAAAACAGTGCAACAAATGCTTGCGTTCCTGGGCCTGACAGGTTACAGCAGGACGTACATACCTGACTATGTGGATTTGACACAACCACTGAGACACATAATTGCAGAAGCAGGAAACAGAAATCTCAAAGCTACTCTTGAGTGGACAACGTTGGCCGAAGAAGCTTTCACGAAGACGAAGCAAGCCCTGAGTCAAGCGGCACACCTTTCCACTCCTGATTATGACGATGATTTTTGCCTTGATGTTTCTGAATCAGGTGGAATAGTCAACGAGGTCCTGTTTCAGAAAAAAGGGGGAGTGAGACAGGTACTGATGTACCATAGCTCAAAGTTAGACAATATAGAACTAGGCCAGACAGGATGTGCAAGACATCTAGCTGCACTAGCAAAAGTCATTGAGAAAACTGCACATGTGGTAATGTGCCACCCATTGAAAGTCAACACAGCCCATGGAGTAGTAGCATTTATAAATTCACAAGCATTCACATTTTCCCCAATCAGGAAAATCAAGATTCAGACCAGTCTGTTGAAACCACATATAACATACCAAGCTGGTTTAACAAACATGTCTACAGGACTGAGCACTGAAGAGCACACACCCCATGACTGTCAGTTCGTCTCCCAAAAGGATCTCAAGATAAGATCAGATTTGGAAACAGATCCTTTGGACCAACCAGACCTCACTCTCTACAGTGACGGCTGCTGTTACAAGGGAGACGACGGGAATGTGGCCTCCTATGCCGTAGTCCAGCAGGAGGGAGAAAATATACAGACATTGGAAGCAGAAATCATCTCCCAACCTGCTTCGGCCCAACTGGCAGAAGTAGTGGCACTCACCAAAGCCTTGGAGCATGCAAAGGGACAGCGAGTCAACATCTACACAGATTCAGCGTATGCCTATGGAGCAGTGCATATAGACGGACCACAGTGGATCAGAAGAGGGTTCCTAACATCTGCTAAGACACCAGTAAAACATGCTGAAGCGCTAAAACTCCTGCTAACATCTTTGCTGTTGCCAGCACAAGTGGCAGTAATGAAATGCAAAGGACAGCAAACATTGAACAATGCAATATCCAGAGGAAACGATGCAGCAGACAAGGCAGCAAAGAAAGCAGGAGGGTACAGCAAGCAAATGATATGTACAAAGGCCAATACTCAAGAGGAGTTAACCACCGAACACATCAAAGATATGCAGAAATATGCTGGAGTGTATGAACAGAATCAATGGAGTCAGAAAGGAGCAAAGGAAGTAGATGGCCTATGGAGAGCCCACGACGGACGTTTAGTCGCACCTGCAAAATTATGCCACTTGCTAATAGAACAATCACATGGTCCCACTCATGTAGGCAAAGCAAGAACAACAAAAGACATTGAACAACAGTGGTGGCATCCTTACATGAAGGACATGGTTGAGAATTTCGTAAACGACTGTGACACGTGCAATGCATTCAATGTAAAAAAGCCATACAAGTGCCCAATGGGAAGATATCCAGTCCCAGAAGCCCCATTCAAAGACATTTGTATTGATTATACAGACATGGGAGCAGACAATGTAGTCAGAGGGTTTAGATATATGTTAGTAATGATTGATCGTTATACGAGATGGATTGAAGCCATTCCTTGTAAAAAAGAAGATGCAAAGACAGTCATTAAATGGCTCAAAACAGAACTCGTACCCCGTTATGGAGTGCCAAGGATAATAAGATCAGACAATGGTTCACATTTTACAAGCAAATACTTGGAGGAAGTTGAGTTATATTTTGGTATAATTCATAAGTTTGGGTCAGCATACCACCCACAATCTCAGGGCATAGTAGAAAGAGCAAATCGAACATTAAAAGGGAAAATAGCAAAAGTCATTTTTGGCACAAACATGAAATGGGTAGATGCTTTGCCTCTGGCACTCATGTCAATGAGATCTTCTGAGGGTGCTAAAACACATCTTTCACCCCATGAGTTGTTAACTGGTCGGCCAATGCCTGGGCCTCCTAGAGAAGGAGGGACTGGCCCAGTTTTAGACATCAGACAAATAGAAGTGGATGAATATGTCAGGGCTCTGAGTAATATTATCCAAGTCTTGTCTACACAGGTTCAGAGAACTGCAGAGACACCAGAAGAGACACCAGAAGAGACTCCTGTACGGCCGGGTGATTGGGTGAGGTTGAAAGTTCACAAAAGAAAGTGGGCTGAACCCAGGTGGACGGGGCCGTGGGAAGTTGTTGAAAGAACTTCACACGCTCTCCGGATAAAAGGTAAAAAAGGAGCAAATTGGCACCACCTGACACATTGTCGCCCTGCACAGGCACCTTCCAGAAAGCTCTTGGAAGTTAGGACTGATTTGGCAGAGCTGGAACAAAACGATGAATAAAAAATCAAAACAAGAGATATTAAGATAGAAACAGCTCAAAAGACGAATTGTCTTTAGGTTTTAGAGATTGGATACTAAAACGGAATACCCATTCTTGTTTTACATCTGAAACCCATTTATTCTATCAGTCCAATATTTTTGTTTTATTATTTTTATTCTATCACCAATATTTTTGTTTTATTATTTTTATTCTATCACCAATATTTTTGTTTTATTATTTTTATTCTATCTGTCCAATATTTTTGTTTTATTATTTCTTATATAGTTTATTTTTAGTATTCATTCATTTTAAAACTCTCAAACTGATATAACCATGGGTAAAATTGATGAAACGCCATTGAAGAAGTCAGAACATTTAAGGGGCCCCCTGGGAATAAGAATCGTAGTAACATTGTTAGCGGTGTTCATCTCAATTGGCATTTTCCTGGTTGGGTGGGGGGTACAGCATCGTGAAGAACCCGAATCCATTCGAGCCCTCGTAGAAAATGCCAATATCACTAACAAAACTTCAGCTGTGTTTAGGACATTTCCATTTACCCCCAGAGCCAAAAGATCAGCTGAGAGACTGAAGGAGGGGTTGGAAATACTCATCCCCAGAGGTGAAGCGGTTACGGTCAGTCTTGATGTGTGTGATGTGGTTGTATGTGGAGAGCTGCGAGATAAAACAGGCCATGACGTTTATGGGTGCATTCATGCTTGGGGACGGCCAGATGATAATTCATGGTGTCCCGGTTCAGAGAAGGTATACTGGAGTGCAAGGGCAGAAGGTAATAACAATCCCCCTGGTTTGGCGTTTAGGTCTCAGCTATCTTTTTCCAAAGGTCGCCATAGTGGAGATATGAGCAAACACAATCCAATAATAATTGCTTTTAAAAGCGCACTCACTCCCCATTTCAAGAAACAGGGAGACGTCACTGCATTCCATTTACTGATGGGGATAGAAGTTCCTGGAAAAGACCCAATGGGATCAATTTTAGTGAAGATAATTGACCCACCAGCAGATGTAATCCCTGATCTCGCCCCAAAATATACTGAATCACCCTTTAAACCAGAACCAGAAATCCCCCCCTGCTAAATCTGTGAACAATCCACTGGTCACCTATCTGAGTACGACCTCTATACAGAAAGTCATAGCAGTGGAAACAGGATACGAGGACACAAATTCTTGGTTAGACTGGGTTGTTTATTCTGTTAAGCAGAGCAAGATGGCGGACTGTCTGGCCTGTGCGGCTGCCCGACCAAGTTTGGGAACAGTGCCATTTCCATTTAACGCCCACAACAACCCAAGAGGACAACGCTGTATGTACAAACTCTATGGACAAAAATCCCCAGCAGATTGTGTCGACATTGCACAAAAGTATCCAGTGGTAAAAATAAATGACATTCCACCTGACTTCACGTCTTACGAGGGACTGTATGACTGCATCACAAGGGACTACCTAAAAGGTACAGAAGTAGGAACTCTTAAGTGGTGCAATTCTACAACGATTTTAAGTAACCAGGATTTTCTCCCAGGTATAACTATGCCCATTAGACAGTATCCCAGAACAGATGTGTGGTGGTATTGTGGCACTAAAACCCTGTATTCAGTTTTACCACAGGATTGGACAGGGACCTGTGCACTGGTACAGCTAGTGATGCCTTTTTATGCAGTACCGATGACGGCCGAGCAACTGATAAACATGGCAGTCCAACCCAAAGCAACTAGAGCCAAAAGGTCAGTCTTTCCAGGGAGTTTTGATTCCACTGTGTACATAGACAGCATAGGGGTGCCCAGGGGAGTTCCAGACGAGTTTAAAGCTAGAAACCAGATCTTAGCAGGATTGGAATCCATTTTCCTTTGGCCTACAATAAATAAGAATGTGGACTGGATTAACTATATCTACTACAATCAGCAGAGGTTCATAAATCACTCCAAGGACGCAATGAAGGGACTAAGCGAGCAACTGGACAAGACCAGCCAGATGTCTTTGCAGAACAGAGTGGCCCTAGATATGTTGCTGGCAGGAAAAGGGGGTGTATGCAAAATGTTTGGAACATTATGTTGTACTTTCATCCCAAACAACACCTCACCTGATGGATCAGTAACCAAGGCTCTGAAGGGACTCACTACTCTAAGCATGGAGTTAGCAGACAACAGCGGGATAGAGATGAACCCCCTGGGGGGTTTCTTAGATGGTTGGCTGGGGAAGTACAAGGATTTCCTAGTGAGTGGACTGATGTCTGTGTCAGGTGTGATCGTGATATTGGCACTGTGCTGTTGTTGTTTCTCGACCTGCATCCGCGCTTTTGCAAACCGACTGATTAATGGGGCCCTCAACCAGGAATATGCTAGGGGTCAATATCACATGGGGGGACAGTTTCCAATGCTAGCAGAACAGGACGATCCACCCCCGTATACAGATGTAGATGAAAATGACGAGTTAGTTTGAATGATGTTAAATGATGTGGATGTTCAGAGATGAGATTGTTCAATGAATGTCCAGCCGATGTGACTCTTTAAATGATGAAATCATCTGAAGAAGTGAGCAAAATAAAATGCTAAAATGGAGTGAATCCATTTCACTGAACTCTATACTATTCCAAGATAGTGTATTTTTATTTTTAATTACTCTATACTATTCCAAGATAGTGTATTTTTATTTTTAATTACTCTATACTATTCCAAGATAGTGTATTTTTTGTTTTATTATTACATTACACTGGTACAAGATAGTTTATTTCATTTTTATTATTTTTCACTGTTCTATATGGTAGATTTCATGTATTTTCGAATCATTACAATTCTAAAATGAATAGTTTATTTTCACTTTGTAAAAACAAGTGCCTTAACACTGAGTGTATTATAAGAACGGTTTCTGTGAAAGGAGGGAGGAATAAATGTTCTGATACCAAGCCATTGCTGCTATTTTGAAGAGCCATATTGAATGTTAACACTAGAAGTTATGCACAAGGGAAAACTTTTATGTTTGAACACAGTCAAAGTATTTTTGTATTTTTGTAAAGTTGAGGATATTCGCACTATTCCATTTTGATTGTATGTTTTTGATATGAATGATGTACTATGCAGAGTTCAGATGAAGAACTAATTGATTTCAGTATTATACACACCTTTTAGGTGTGTAAGGAGGGACTGTTAGAAATTAAAATCAATGTTTTGATGGCATAATGTACCTTAAATGTACCTTCAGTTTAAATGCTGTTTTATACTGAAAAACCAGAAAATTATTGTGCACAACCAGATAAGCTTTTATTCTGAAAATCCTTCATCTCCGGTTAGCATGTGGCTAGTTTACCATTTCTTATAAAGGTTAATTTAGTAGCGAAATGACATGGAGTGATGCACACCGAAACCTACTGATTTTAACACTGCAACTATAGAAGTATTATTATTGCTGAATATTGAATAAAGTTATTGTTTACAGACGTGGGTAAGATGTGACAACATCCGGAATGACCAGAAACCAAACCAGCCGTGAAGTATTTTCTGTATTTTTTAGAATATTAACTACAACGTTTAGAATGTGTTAAAGGAAAAGTGATGAAAGACAATATGAGGAGAAGAGGCGTGTTTAAGTATGTATTGAATGTACAATGGCTGAATCCTCTGTTTAAACGTAACAACGGACATTAAGATGTGGAGGGCCGGCCCGCAGGGAGGAGCCTACAGAAGCTATATAAGAGCAGCACCTGAGCGGTTCGGCCTCTTTTCTCTGCTAGCGAGGGCCAGAGACAGCTGCTTTTCTGTCGGACAATATCCTGTTTGTGACTGTACCGCGCCTTTTTATTAATTAAAGTACCAATTTGAAAACATCTCAGAGACTCCATTTAGTCTCCTTTTTAAGCTTCTCTTTCCTGGACGCGAGAATAACCATCACAGTTAACAGTATTCACTTCAGGTTTAAGAAAGTAACTGTAATCAGATTACTCGTTTTTCAAATGTAACGCCAGCCACATGTATTCCGTTACAACCCAACCCTGTCAATAAGTGATCGGAGGAGTCACTCCCCAGTTTAACCAATCACTTCGCTCTGTTCTCACAAGCCTATCATCTGTGGATTCTCAGCTTTAATCTGATACCTTGTTTGTGCAGCTACGATAAGTAATCAGGGTATTTTTACCTTGAGTTCTGTGCTAAGTGCGTTAGCATGTTTTCGCTCAGGGCTCATTTAGACGCTTCTTGTGAGACTTGTGTTTGTTTCGGTAAACATGGTTCGTATCTTCAGTTAGCTGATGTTTCTAACCGTTAAGTGAGTATGACACATTAATAGGTTTTTAAATATTAAGAAGCCCTGAGACACAGTTTCGTGAAAAAACAACTCTTCTACATCAGCATGTGTCCCCTCTTCTTCATGTCTCTTCCACATCAACATGTGTCCCCTCCTCTTCATGTCTCCTTCTACAGCAACAGATGTCCCCTCTTCTCCATGGGGTCTCTTCTACATCAACATAGTGTCCCCTCTTCTTTCATGTCTCTTCTACATCAACATAGTGTCCCCTCTTCTTCATGTGCTCCTATGCATCAACATGTGTCCCCCTCTTCCTTCCATGTCTCTTCTACATCAACATATGTTCCCCTCTTCTTCATGTCTCCTCTATACATCAACATGTGTCCCTCTCTTCATGTCTCTTCTACATCAACATGTGTCCCTCTTCTTCATGTCTCCTCTACATCAACATGTGTCCCCTCTTCTTCATGTCTCTTCTACATCAACATGTGCCCATCTTCTTCATGTCTCCTCTACATCAACATGTGTCCCCTCTTCTTCATGTCTCTTCTACATCAACATGTGTCCCCTCTTCTTCATGTCTCCTCTACATCAACATGTGTCCCCTCTTCTTCATGTCTCTTCTAACATCAACATGTGTCCCCTCTTCCTTCATGTCTCTTCTACATCAACATGTGTCCCCCTCTTCTTCATGTCTCTTCTACATCAAACATGTGTCCCCTCTTCTTCATGTCTCTTCTACATCAACATGTGTCCCTCTTCTTCATGTCTCTTCTACATCAAACATGTGTCCCCGCTTCTTCATGTCTCTTCTACATCACATGTGTCCCCTATCCTTCATGTCTCTTCTACATCAACAATGTGTCCCCTTCTTCTTCATGTCTCTTCTACAGGACATGTGTCCCCTCTTCTTCATGTTCTTCTCCATCAACATGTGTCCCCTCTTCTTCATGTCTCTTCTACATCAACATGTGTCCCCTCTTCTTCATGTCTCCTTCTACAGTCAACATGTGTCCCCTCTTCTTCATGTCTCTTCTACATCAACATGTGTCCCCTCTTCTCATGTCTCTTCTACATCAACATGTGTCCCCTCTTCTTCATGTCTCTTCTACATCAACATGTGTCCCCTCTTCTTCATGTCTCTTCTACATCAACATGGGTCCCCTCTTCTCATGTCTCTTCTCTCCCTCACAGGTGGGTCCCCCTCTTCTTCATGGCTCGTCTACATCAACATGTGTCCCCTCTTCTTCATGTTCTCTTTTCTCCATCAACATGTGTCCCCTCTTCTTCATGTCTCTTCTATTCTACTCAACATGTGTCCCCCTCTTCTTCATGTCTCTTCTACATCAACATGTGTCCCCCTCTTCTTCATGTCTCTTCTACATCAACATGTGTCCCCTCTTCTTCATGTCTCCCCTACATCAACATGTGTTCCCTCTTCTTCATGTCTCTTCTACATCAACAGTGTGTCCCCTCTTCTTCATGTCTCTCTCTCCATCAACATGTGTCCCCTCTTCTTCATGTCTCTTCTACATCAACATGTGTCCCCTCTTCTTCATGTCTCTTCTACATCAACATGTGTCCCCTCTTCTTCATGTCTCTTCTACATCAACATGGGTCCCCTCTTCTCATGTCTCTTCTACATCAACATGTTTCCCTCTTCTTCATCATGTCTCTTCTACATCAACATGTGTCCCCTCTTCTTCATGTCTCCTCTACATCAACATGTGTCCCCTCTTCTTCATGTCCTCTTACATCAACATGTGTCCCCTCTTCTTCATGTCTCTTTACATCAACATGTGTCCCCTCTCTTCATGTCTCTTCTACATCAACATGTGTCCCCTCTTCTTCATGTCTCTTCTACATCAAGCATGTGTCCCCTCTTCTTCATGTCTCTTCTACATCAACATGTGTCCCCTCTTCTTCATGTCTCTTCTACATCAACATGTGTCCCCTCTTCTTCATGTCTCTTCTACATCAACATGTGTCCCCTCTTCTTCATGTCTCTTCTACATCAACATGTGTCCCCTCTTCTTCATGTCTCTTCTACATCAACATGTGTCCCCTCTTCTTCATGTCTCTTCTACATCAACATGTGTCCCCTCTTCTTCATGTCTCTTCTACATCAACATGTGTCCCCTCTTCTTCATGTCTCTTCTACATCAACATGTGTCCCCCTCTTCTTCATGTCTCTTCTACATCAACATGTGTCCCCTCTTCTTCATGTCTCTTCTACATCACCATGTGTCCCCTCTTCTTCATGTCTCTTCTACATCAACATGTGTCCCCTCTTCTTCATGTCTCTTCTACATCAACATGTGTCCCCTCTTCTTCATGTCTCTTCTACATCAACATGTGTCCCCTCTTCTTCATGTCTCTTCTACATCAACATGTGTCCCCTCTTCTTCATGTCTCTTCTACATCAACTAGTGTCCCCTCTTCTTCATGTACTCGGTCTCCTATCATAACATGTGTCCCCTCTTCTTCATGTCTCTTCTACATCAAAATGTGTCCCCTCTTCTTCATGTCTCTTCTACATCAACATGTGTCCCCTCTTCTTATGTCTCTTCTACATCAACATGTGTCCCCTCTTCTTCATGTCTCTTCTACATCAACATGTGTCCCCTCTTCTTCATGTCTCTTCTACATCAACATGTGTCCCCTCTTCTTCATGTCTCTTCTACATCAACATGTGTCCCCTCTTCTTCACGTCTCTTCTACATCAAACAGTGTCCCCTCTTCTTCACGTCTCTTCTACATCAACATGTGTCCCCTTCTTCTTCACGTCTCTTCTACATCAACATGTGTCCCCCCTCTTCTTCATGTCTCTCTACATCAACATGTGTCCCCTCTTCTTCATGTCTCTTCTACATCAACATGTGCTCCCCTCTCTTCATGTCTCTTCTACATCAACATGTGTCCCCTCTTCTTCATGTCTCTCTACATCAACATGTGTCCCCTCTTCTTCATGTCTCATCTACATCAACATGTGTCCCCTCTTCTTCATGTCTCTTCTACATCAAGCATGTGTCCCCTCTTCTTACGTCTCTTCTACATCAAACATGTGTCCCCTCTTCTTCATGTCTCTTCTACATCAACATGTGTCCCCTCTTCTTCATGTCTCTTCTACATCAACATGTGTCCCCTCTTCTTCATGTCTCTCTACATCAACATGTGTCCCCTCTTCTCCGTCTCCTCTACATCAACATGTGTCCCCTCTTTTCATGTCTCTTCTACATCAACATGTGTCCCCTCCTCTTCATGTCTCTTCTACATCAACATGTGTCCCCTCTTCTTCATGTCTCTTCTACATCAACATGTTGTCCTCCTCTTCTTCATGTCTCTTCTACATTCAACATTGTCTCCCCTCTCTTCCATGGCTCTTCTACATCAACATGTGTCCCCTCTTCTTCATGTCTCTTTCTCATCAACATGTGTCCCCTCTTCTTCATGTCTCTTCTACATCAACATGTGTCCCCTCGTCTTCATGTCTTTCTTACATCAACA